CCACTGACCAATCTGAAACCTGATGTTGATAAGTTGGTTTCGTCTCACCAGGTCCGTACTTCCCATTAGGACAGTGTCAATGACTTATTTGTACATATGCTTACACCGTAGTTTACCCTCACTTGATACCTGAACACGTCTTTTCTTTTTTTGCTTTTCTAAAATTTTCTTTCTTCTTTATCTACAGCAAAATACTCACTTGTTTAATAGAGTTTGTTATGAGCATGTGCTGCCACTGTTGATGAAACTGATGATGATATTGACGGCGATGATTACGATGATAATTGTAGACTAAGATCCATGCATACTTTTTCTTTCCTGTGGTTATTCACACTTGAACAGCTTAATAATAATTTTATGTTCTAGAATGGAGATATTTGATATAATGCAAATCCCAGGCAACTTTATTGCAGCACCTTGATGGGAGAAAACGTTTCATAAAAATAACGTCAATCTGTTTTCAAACTAATGATCACTGATTTGGGGTTCATTTTTTGTGTGTTTTGCTTCTGTAAATATGTCATAATACATGTTATACTTTTATTGATGTTAACAACACTGGTCGTTTAATACCGAAGACACATATATATAAAATGACAGTATTTTGTTCGCAGTGCCCTTGCATAACATAGAAGAAAAAATGTGTTTTTATTATCTCTCGTACACGCTTAATTTAAGACTGTAATGATGGTGATTTGTGATCCAACTAATTTTCAGAACCAAATCATTAGAATTTAGGCTCTATATTTTGTACCCTACTTTTTGAGCTCTCTCTTTATTTTTTTATTGTTATTATATTATGCATGTCGTTATGTCGTATTGATGGTTGGGGTGGAGTAGGGGGCGCTCGGACTCGGCTGGGTGAAAAAGGGGGCGGAGGGCGAAAAAAGTTTGAAAACCACTGGTCTACAGCGAAATTTCATGGTACGAAGTATAGCATAGTGTGTTACTGTTGTTAGTCAACCTGCTGTTCAGGCTAACACTCAGGGGGTCGTCTGTGGCATACTATTTTTATAAAAAGAAATCAAGGCCACAGACACAAGTTCAAAATACAGTACAATGTATACGGTATCATATATTTAAGATACCATAATTGTCATTAGATTACAGCACCATAGTCACATCTATTTCTCTTTTTTCTTAATCAAAATAAGAACAAGGTTTACAAAACTTCACAAAACTGAATGAATGAATGTGTGTGAGCGTGTCCGCGGACAGTGTGTGTGTGTGTGTGTGTGTGTGTGTGTGTGTGAGAGAGAGAGAGAGAGAGAGAGAGAGAGAGAGAGAGAGAGAGAGAGAGAGAGAGAGAGAGAGAGAGAGAGAGAGAGAGAGAGAGAGAGAGAGAGAGAGAGAGAGAGAGAGAGAGATTGTGCGCGCGCGCGTGTGAGCACGGACCTAGACCAAGGAGATTAAAAGTAAGTTAGTTCTAAGCTCCTTGACCTAGACGTATAAGAACCAAGGAGATTAAAAGTAGTTCTAAACTCCTTGATAAGAACGTATAGGCATGGACACATTAATGCATTAAAGCCACCTGATGCTACACATTGTATTACAACGTGGTAAAATCTCATTGTGCTGAAAGTTGGGAACCAGATTGCCTTCTTGTGAAAGGGCTCGAAGAGAGTAGGAATGGCATAGGATCATAATTATTTTGCATGTTAACATAAATCCAAAAATAATCCAGCGTGATACAAACTGAGCTATTGGTGTGCCCAATCAAATTGCCTTTCGTCTCTCCTATATAACTATAAGCATAGACAAGACAGTATACCAACTCGGACCATATTTTAAAACAATTTCCAAAATTCTCTCTCAACAATGAGTGCCTTCAAACTCTCCCCATGAGATTCAAAACTCGACATAACTATTCAGATATTGTGTTTCATAACTGCCATTGAAAATTCTGTTTACGTTGATTAACAGTGCTATATCACGTCTTAAGATGGTATACATGTATTTCTGAGCCAACAATATTGTCAATTTTCAACTTAATTTTTACTCATGACATAAAGATTATATTACATCATAAATCCAAAGATCGAAGGTAATCCTTGTGGTCTAGAAGTTAATGTGTTGGCATCTCATTCAATAGGTCCCGGGTTCGAATCTGGATAAAGGGGAGAACATCAAAGCCGCGCACTACCAGAGCCGCGCACTTTTTGACGATATCGATACAATTAGACCGCTGATTACCAAAACAGTACCATCCAACAATTATTAAGTACCTTCAGCGTTGTACAGGGCTTGGAACCAGATATCAAGGTATTGTATTGAATAAATAGACCTTTCAGGTATATAACATGTCTACAGGACACGGGCGATCTTTAAAATGTAGGGGCAGCACTTTCTTGCTCATTCAGGATAAGAACTGAGGCTGTGAGACTTGCCTATCTGCGTACATTTGCTTGTTTAAATATTCTCCCTTCTTTCTTTGTAGTGCCTTTTTATTTGATCTGTTTTCAGTTTTAGCTTAGAAATCAAATGGAAATCGCTTAGCGTCACCAGAAAGACAAATATATTTCAATGGAGGCTGTACAGAGTAATTTTCTCAAGAGGACTGTAACCGTTGGATGGACTCGGCGATCTAATTGTACATGTATCGATATCGCCAAAAAGTGCGGGGCTTTGATAGTTTCCCGGATAAAGACGACATATTTTCTACTCCAAAATCTTCCCCTTTCACATCCTTTCCTGCTCTCTAACAATGTTCTGTCGTTTGCCCCCGCACCTCCTTTGCCCTCTCCTCTGGACTCCGGACTCTATCTGCAGTCTTGCTACTGCTACATGTACTCATGGTTCCTTCTTACTGCTGTCTTTCAGCCACACCCCTGATCTTATGGTAGGCAAGATCTACACCTAGCCTTCCAATATAATGGCGAAAAATCCCGGAGGTCCCATGTGCAAGTTGTACACGTCTAATTTCGATAAATATAAGTATAGGCTTCAGCCGCCACCAAGGCAAAAATCAAAATTTCCTACCAACCGAAAGTTTAATGTGTGCCGCGCACTCATCACACACACACACACACACACACACACACATACCAAAAGGAGCGTAGACTAAAAACAAGATCTCTCCAGATGTCTCTGTCCTTATATATATATATTTATATATATAGCAATCTTCCCCTTCTTTCACAAAACATCTAAGCAGACAACATGTAGGCCTTGTTGGTAGGAAATAGCAAACATCTGCGCTGCATTTCACTTTGAATTCCATCTCACAAACAACTTAAATTTAAAAGAAATGGAGCTGAGGTTCACACCGCAAACAAATTCGGTGTTCCAACATTGACTAAATTTAAAAACCAACTGCTAAAATTTTCTCTAGAAAAGAGCAAGCCAGTCTTTCACCAGCACACACAATATTCTATTCAGTATATGTATTCAGTTGCTTTTTCACCATAACAGAATACGACCATACGACCACAATTCCCATTAATAGATGCACCTGCTCTTTTTTTACCAATGTGAATAACCACTTTTTCCACTGCCCACAGCAATGAACCATAACAAAACTACTCATCCTCCTCTGAGACCCAGTAAAGAGAGTATGGTACCATACCCACTATGGAACTATACAATAATTGAAGAAAATAAGTAAGCATCACTCCATTGCATTTTCCGACAGTAACAGCCCATGTATCTCCATAAAAACCATCTGCACAGCATGTGGTGCAGCTTTGTAACTTTTTGGCTCAGGCTGATTTTAACTTTAACTAGCTCCAGTTTTGGAACTACAGAGCCATTTTTCAGGAAACACATGATAGGCAGTGAAGAAGACAGTGGAGGAGACAATGAAGGAGGAGAGTAGATAGCTAGAAGCTCTTCAGGAAAGAAGGGAAACTTTTGGAACATTCAGGATACAAACAATAACAAAGTTTTATGAGAAAAAACTCCACGAAACAACATAAAGCAATTGACCTTGACTATCAATGACTTATTTATAGAGGCACCAGCCATCCATGTAAAGCTAAATGACTTGAGGACAAAAGTGTCAATTTGTAAGGCAAGGTAATAGAAGCTTTCAAAATCCTTTATTTGTTTGCAACGCTTTATGTACCAAAAATACAATGCATGTTGTTATAATCTGTCAACTTGAAGTTTATTGCTCTACAGCACACAAGCAGTGCTATAAGAAGTTAACTGTATCCCAGAGGCACACTTGAAGAAAGGTAACAGCTCAAGAGGGAGGGGCAAACTTACAGACCTGAATCTTGAGCTTTAACACGAAAGTCAAGTTCATATCGCCATTCAACAGATACTCATCCTCTGTACATTTCTTTCTCCTTCATGTCTGTTTTTTCAAAGATTCTCTTGTCATTTTATTTCAACCGTTACCTAAAAGAATAACAAAGGCAATAAACGAGAGCACATTGTGATTATCATCATTTTATTACATAAATGATAACAAGAAATGAGAAGGAAAAAAAAGGGGGGAAGCAACTGTCATTGTTGATGCAACACCGACAAATTTGGAGTCTGGGGTGTGGGGACTGGTGTTGGTCTGTTATCACTTAAGGTTGCACTGCCAAATATTTCTTCAGGAGGTTCAGTACTTAGAAGGGGCGATGTCGTCTGTGATAAAGGATCAGCAGGCAAACTGGACACAGCTTCATCATACTTTTGAGTTTTGTAGTTGCCCCATTTCAAGCGGCAACACACAGCATCCATCAAAATTTGTACTAATCCATTCAGCATACCTGAAAAAAACCCAGTCAAAACAATAGATTAACTCTATATCTCCAAGGGGGGTGAACCCACTATGCAGGGGCCCTTTTCTGGTCTGAAATCTAAAAGTGACAGGTAGGCCTACATCACTAAATTGGTCATTAAATCAAAATAAGTAAACCTATTTTGATAGTTCTTCATTCAATGAATGGACTCTTGGTAAAAGAGACCTGTTTTCAGCAATGGCTGAAATGTAATTTGACATCAAAGTTGTCTAAAGGAATGTGCCTGAGCCGCTGTGAGCAGCTTGCCGGAGGTAAGGAGTTAACAAAACTATACTTGTCCCTTTTATGGTCTGTACAGTAAAAAAAGTTTAATTATGTAATGCATTGCACATTAAAAATGAAAATTGAAAATGGACACTTGGAACTGAAGACTACACTACAACTGCTTTCTGTAAGACTCCACCACACGCCATTTTGAAAAATGATGCATGATGGAGTCTTACACTGAGCAGTCGATTTGTTAGATCCCAATTTGATGTCAGCTTTTGTACAGTACAAACTCATTCTCAGAGGGGAAACAGTAAATACAGAAAGACAAAGTCATGAATGCCCATCATTTTACATCAGAAGGGCTAATTTTGCAGTTACTTGCTCAGGGACAAGTGCATCAATTAGACATGCTCTGAGACAAATAAATATAAAGAGTATATGTCATTCAAAAGATCCAAACGATTTATCCATACACTAGAGAAACGCACATGGACACATGAACAGAGCAGTGTTTAACACTTTATAAACTGTCACATAGTGGTATCCTTCAGACATTATTAAGACAAACGTATCATCATATAAAGTCATAAGTTTGAAGCAGTAAGAGCATTCAAAATTGAAAGGCTGACCACAAAAAAGTCGTCAAAATACAATAAACCTTACCATATAAATATTAAACTTAGATCTAATGACCAATCAAGAAAAGGCACAGCTACATTGTAGACTCACAAAAAGAAGCTCCAGAAGCTTAAATTTAGATACAGTTGCCACTGATAAGTTACCAACGTGTCTGATTGAATGGTTCTTTTTTTTCTAGATCACTGATAAGAGTAGCAGTTTTAATAAGAATAACAATACCAACACCAATGGTATTCAGCTACTCTTTCTCACACTCGGTTCTTCATATACATTACAATGCATTCTGTATCCTGCAAAGTTATCTTTCAGAACTTTTTTCACAAAATACCACCATAATGTACATGTATTTATTTTCTTTGCACTAAGATAAATATACCGGTGCTTCAGACTGACAATAAACACTTGCCTGAGACAGAGAAGACACCTCCAATGATACCACAAAGTCTGACCAAAAACTGCCAGTAAGGTCTGTGCACTTCTGTGACACGGATCATCATCGGGGTGAGATCGTACTTCACAAAGATTCCTGGATTTCCATGACTGCCTGCACTGTGGTTGATAGCTCGATTCTGTGCAACAGAAAGACCAAGGGTAACTGAATGCTTTTTCAACTTTTTCAAGCAGATTTCCAGTTATGCATAAAGCCTGCATCATATATGATTTCAACTTGTACAAAAACAAAAGCCCCAAGGTTACTTTTGTTAGCAAGAAGGATGCTGTTTGTACTGGCAAGAGCGTTTATTTTAAAAAACTAGAAGTAGAAGGAACAGATCTTCTACAGCAATTGTCATTTCTCCTAAATGTATTGTATCTTCTGGCATTTAATATGAAATAAAGGGGCTGTGCAGAGGAAGTGAAAGAGAAAATGCCTCTTTTTCCCTCATGTACATGAATGAATTTTCCAAATATCTCTGGCAAAATTCATAAGTTAAAGATCAAAGGGAAAAGCCTGTACAGTTGGATCCTGTTCCAAGAAATATTTGTACACCAAAATATAAAACAATGCCCTAATAGAATGTTGTAACTTTAGCTTTATGAGGGAACAAAAACCCAACTCACCTTTTCAGTAACAGCAAACTGATAAGTATCCATATTGGTTTTATATGTGCGTACTTCCGTTGGAACGACTTGCATGAAGTACTGGAAGTTGTGGTAATCTTGGAATAGAAGACAAATGAGTGTGCTACATTGCAGTGGTGTAGCATTCTGGAGAAAAGTATCTGACATACAAACCCCGCTATTCCGGCAACTTTGGTACAAGCATGAAGTCGGCAGTATAGAAGGGGTGGCAGTTTAACGAGGCTGTAATGCTATCCTCAGCTAAATAGCACAAAATGCTCAATGTCAAGGCTAACAATCCTGCCATGATTTCTTTGAGAGTTTTAGGATGTTACCAATGGTGCGACACTTTACTGCCGAGTACCAAACTGCAGAGAAACAGAGTGAGTGTTGTTACTGCCACACTTTAAATATAGCAATCACAATTGACTATACAAATCAGGCAGTTGGAAGATGGTCATTTAAAGGGGCACATAGTATGTTTACTTTGGCGTTCTTTTTAACACATTGGCAAAGCTTGGCGGTAAGGGAGACTGTGGTATATAGGGAGGTGGTACAGTATAGCAGGATTTAACTGTAAACATTGCCCTACCAAATATATATTTGTCATTTAACAGTACACATAGCCCTAACAAATATATATTTGGCAATTTACAATCAGAATATTATGACATTATGACAATTGGAATGATCAAAATCATTAAAAGTCTTTAAAGATAAAACTTCTTAAAACCCACGTCATATAATACAAATATTGCTTAAGACTGAGCAAACTATTTTTATATATCTAAAAAGCATCCTAAACCCTTCTTCGGGTGAGAAGATTATCTCCAATATTTCCAGGTATATATTATATTCTTTATAATTCAGGTCTTTTGGTCCAAGTATTGGTGGAGAAGAAAATCAGGATGTTTATTTTCTATTGTTTTTCTAGCCACGGAAACCAAGAAAAACGGTCACTATCTTAGAGTTTCCTAGTCATTTTAGGAAGTTGTTTTTCAAAAACTATTTATGATATCCTAGTCGTATCTCAGTGGCTTGTTTCTATTGGTCTTTGTAACACAGTACCAGAGTCAGTTTTTAAGAAAAAATTTTGCCACATGAATAAACCACTGGTCAAAGATGCAATCAATGAGTTGAGGAGGGGAGATCAATCCATAATCTTCCAACTTAGAACACAACATGTACCCCTCAACCAACATCTCAACCGAATTGGAGTAAAGCAGTCTGCTGCCTGCCCACTATGTGACTACCCCTCAGAGACAGTGGAACATCATCTGTTCTTCTGTAGAAAACTAACTGATTTAAGGGGATGTTTTCTTCCCAAGCTACCCCACACATCTAATTGCCTCTACTCCTCAAGACAACAGTTAGAACAAACATGCAACTATTACCGAATGGCATCATGTAGAAGAGTTAACACTCCGATGCTACTGGATCGCTAACAACAACAACAACAAGAAAAAATGTTCACACTGGTGGGGGGAGTTGTAGCTTCAAAGATATGGATAGGTCTAACCCTACCACACACCTCTCTCAAACACACATACACACAGGCCCACATCTATGCATCCTAATCACAGGGTATGGGGATGTTGTTATGTTAGAGGCAGTATTCTGGCATCGGCCGAAATCTAGTGTTATGCACAGTGGCCAAGATTTTTGCCCTCAGCCAGGAGACTCTTGAAAAAAGGTGGCTCTTCACGAAAAGGAGTGAACTTAGTGCAATTTTGGCTCAGGCTGGTGTTGTGAGGAACTAAGCAAGAGAGGAGGAATGCATGCACATTGAAATTATAGGCCAGAGTCGGTGTTCATAGTTTTTAAATCTTCAGAAAAAAAATTAATAAGGCAATTTATAAAAAAATTTTTAATGACAGCTGCTATTAGAGGAAAATATTGCTGTTAAACGGGGTTACAGTAGTCTCCGCCTAAACGCACGGTGCTCGGGAGGGCTCCTTAGCGTGTGTTTATACGGAGCGTATGTTTACATGAACCTTTGCAATGGGAGGAAGGGACGCAGTCATCTCAATTCGTTTTTACTCTAGTGATCTCCCTTGGAGGAGGGGGTCATTTTGGCAGATAATGTGACGACACGTGACTGTTTTGTGAAGGATTCCCCGACAGCGGTCGGCGTTGAATGAGTTGGGGGGGGGGGGGGGAGAGAAAGACAAACTCAATGTAATGAATATGCTCTATAAACATTGGGAACAGAAAGCCTAAGAGGAAACTGTTGGTCATAGTCATACAGAATCATCCTCGAGAAACATTTTCTCTTGTGATTCGTTGAACAAGCACATTATAAGTTCTTCGAGCGCAGCATATTAGGCTTATTTGGCTAATCTTTAATCCTATAGAGGCCTGTCTAATGTTTTACGGCATTTACGCATGTCGCGCATCAGGCCTAGATCTAACTAAACATTACTGGCAGTCACTCAAACTCAAACACCAGTCAGAAACCTTCTATCAAAGATACATTTCCAGTGACCAATCAAAAAACATTTCAGTCCCCTCCCCCCCAAACACACACATATTTAACCGACCAGCCCTAGACCGAGACCTGTGCGTCAGTGGAAAGTATGGTGTGCTGTCCATCACTCTCTTTGTACGACGTGAGGGGCACTCTCACCAAATATCCGGTTTTCTAGTAAATTCTAGGCTTGTCTTATGCAGGCTGTGCAGGTTGTAGTGGAAATTTCCCCTTGCCAAACTTAAGTTGTCGGCGTGTTTCGTGGATCGGAGCGTGCGTTTAGAGGGAGTGACCGTGCGTTTGTACGTCTAAGTTATATAGTAAAAAACCCGTCAAATGACGAAAGCGTGCGTTTGAGCGGAGCGTGCTTTTGTATGGCGTGCGTTTAGGCGGAGACTACTGTATATATATATAGGAAAAATTCCGTTACACAAACTCAGGTTCCTGTTAGGTGGAAATTGCTCTTATCGGGGTTGCTGTTATGCGGGCATCCCCGTATTGCCTTTGACGAGATAAAAATTGATAATATTCTCAACCAAAGAGGGCCTTAACATCACATCCATAAAACAGGACAAAACCTGTGAAACAAAGACCTAAAATATCAAGTCACATTTTTTTCTGAAATCATCCAGAGCGATAGAATTTGAGTAATAGCTTTTAAAAACAATCTCTGCAATTACTGTATGTTGTGAACATCTCTGAGCCATCCAAAGGGTAGATGACTCCAGCCACTTTGTCACCGAAGGAGAAGTGATCAATTCTGTGAGTGAAGTTGTAATCTGAAAACAGAGAAGAAAAACAAAACTTAAGCACACAAGTAACAAACACATACACGGCAAACAGATTCTCAGGTCCCCAATTTTTACTTACATATTCTTTATATTCAAAATATGCACATGGTATAAACAATTCCTACATAGGGGGAAAAACTTGGGATCAGTGAGGATAAATTTAATTAATTACATCCACAAATTTGTTTATCAAAGGAGAGACAGAGAGAGAGATAGAGAGAGAGAAGGGGGAGGGGGCAGTAAGGGAGGGAGAGAGAGAGAGAGACAGGGAGAGAGAGACAGAGAAATTGACAGACAGAGAGCAGACAGACAAAAAGAGAGAGAGAGAGAGAGAGAGAGAGAGAGAGAGAGAGAGAGAGAGAGAGACAGACAGACAGACAGACAGACAGACAGACAGACAGACAGAGAGAGAGAGAGAGAGGGGGGGGGGGGCACAGCATGATTAAAGGCTGATCCTTGCAGAGGTAGATAAAAAACTGATGTAAAAAAAAAAAAATCAAAATCAGAGCAACTAATGAAGATAGCAGGCATGTTGACCAGGCATGGATGCCATAATTCATGTTAAATTTTGATCCGATAGTCCATCTTTGACTACCTCCCTTGATATAACCTGAAAGTTGTACAAAGTGAAATTTACACACAATCAAAAGATTTTTCCACGTCCTGCCAATTTCAGTAAGCAAGTGCTTGACTGCATAGCAATTTAGAAACCTTTTTAAATTCTGGAATAGCAAATCAATATTGTGTATGCGTGTGAGTGTGTGTGCTTGTGTGCGTGCGCGTGCATGCACACGTGTGTTAGTGCGTGCATGTGTGTGAGCAAGGGTTGGGAATAGGATGGTGGATGGAGAGCCAGGAAAGTGCACTGGAGGCATTTGGTGTGTGCATGAATGCACAGTGTGCTGAAGGAAGGAAAAACATGAACAACACCAATAGCATTATGCACACACACACACACACACATGTGTGCGGCTTGGACCACAGGACAGAGAAGGGGCAGTAGGTGAGAAAGCAGAGTTGTAGTTTGGTTACAACAAAACTTTTCTTCTCATTCTGTCCCATTTTAGTTGTATTAATACAACCCGGAAACGTTAAAGGATTACAAAAAAGGATTTGGACTCTTAACATCTGTGGCCTCAAGGACAAGGAACCAGAACTCATTACTTTCATGAAAAGGTGGAGAATACCAATACTTGGACTGTCGGATTGCCGTTTAAAAGGAAGTGGAACCAAGAAAATACATGAAAATTACATACTAATATGGAGTGGAGTAGATATAAGAGAGAGAGATATAAGAGAGATATATTCATGGTGTGGGACTCATAATACAACCTGACACGGCAGAAAGAGTTATAGAGAAAGAAATAATATCAGAAAGGATTTTCAAAATCAGAAAACAGAAAGTGCAAAAAAGGGAATCTATCATCCAAGTCTACGCCCCTTGTAACGACACATACTCAAGGGAAGATAGAGAAGATTTCTTCAGAAGTTGGCAGACACCATAGACAGCGTTCCTGATGAGGAGGAACTAATCATAATGGGAGACTTCAATGGACACATAGGCCCAAGAAGAACACGATGGGAAAACTACCTTGGACCACACGGTGACACCAGTTCAGATTGTAACTATGGAACAACCTAGAAAGTTCCTCACAGATCTACTTCATACTGAGACGAATCGCCCATAGAACTAAAACAACTGAAGCAAGATCAATCCCAAACATCACCTTTGATACAGATCACCAACCAGTGATGATGACGAGTAAAGAAAAAAAAAGACCCATGCGAAAACAGAAGAAGAAACATTCAGAGAAAATTAATTTACAAAAACTCAATGAAGAGGGCAATGCGCAGAAAGTTGAGGATGAAATCACATAGAGACTAGAAAACCAAGACACCAGTTCGATGATGGTGGAAGAAACAAGGACTCTCTTTAATAACTTACTAACAGAAACACTGATAAAAGTATGAGGAAAGAAGAGAATTGGGAGAGGATATGTTAAAGGAACACCATGGTGGAATGACAACATTAAAGAGGCCATTAAAGAAAAGAAGAAACTTTTTCAGAAAGGGATAAAATCCAAGGACGAAAAAGACTACACGCAATACAGACTAGCAAGAAGGAACTGCAAAAGAGTTGTTAGAGCATCAAAAAATGAAATCTTGGACAAAATATGGCGAACACATAAGCGAACTGTGCCATAAATCACCACGTGACTCAGACTTTTACAGAGGTGTAAAATCAATGAGGCTAGGAGAAGAACCGTACGACCCAACAGCTATAATTAATGACAAAACAGGAAACCCCGTTATCAACAGCTCCAAAATTAAATCTATATGGAGGGAATATTTCTCAGAACTCTTGAACACCACCCAAAAGCAAACAAAGAAAGAATTCCAACCAAGTCACAAAGAGGAAGAAGAACCAACCATCCTACCATCAGAGGTCAGACAAGCAGTTAAAACCAGCCAAAAAAACAGAAGCACAGGAATAAATGAGCTCACCACGGAGACCATCCTAACATGTGGTGAAACTGGAATAACTTGGCTCACAAAAATCTTTCAGGAAAGCATGGACAGAAAGAAAAGTTCCCGGTGACTGGCAAAAAGCGGTCATAGTACCAATCTGGAAGAAGGAAGGCAGTAAGAGAGACTTTGGAATGTATAGAGGCATTTCACTGCTAAGCCATGTGGGCAAGATGTTCGCCAAGATATTGGAATGGCGAACAAGACACAAAGTTGAACCATTTCTGAGAGAGGCCCAAATGGGATTTAGAAAGGGAAGAGGATGCACTGACCCAATATTTGCCCTACGACAAATGTGCGAAAGGTTAATAGAACACAACAGGGAACTAAATATAGTATTTATCGACCAGGAGAAAGTGAACAGAAACAAGCTGTGGAAAGAACGCGAAAACTACACTGTAACAGGCCAATTTACTAGAACACCATAAGTACAGTAAGAACGTCAGAGGGACTCACAGAATGGTTCGAGATAACATCCGAAGTGAGACAGGGTTGTGTCCTATCACCACTACTATTTATCATATATATGGATAGAATTACAAAAGAGGCCAACACAGAACCAGACGCCCTAAATGAATTACTCTTTGCTGATGATCAAAGCCTGGCACACAAAGAAGAACGAAGTCTCCAACACCACACCACCAGATTAAATGAAGAATGTAACAACTACGACATGAAGATCAACATCAACAAAAAAGAGACAATGAAAGTAAGCAGAAAGCCAGAACCACTCAGGACACACATCAACAACAACAGTCTCAGACAGGTCCAAGAACTTAATACCTCGGAAGTATATTCTTAGAGGATGGGTGACTGAACAGAGAAATTGAAACATGAGTACAAAAGGCCATTAACGTTAGTTACCAGCTTACTCCACTACTGAAACATCATAACATCCCCATGACAACAAAACTCAAAATGATCAACACCATATTCATCCCAACACTCACCTATCAATGCCAAACATGGATCACGAACAAGATATTAGACCAAAGAATTACATGTGAAATGCCATGCATTAGAAAAGCAATGCAGTAAACAAGACCAGGCGAGACAAAATTAGAAACTCTGTAATCCGAGAAATGGTGGGCACAAATGATGTCATGCATAACATCCAACACCAAAGAATCAAATGGTTCGGACATCTCCTACGACTACCAACACACCATCAAGCACAAGGTGCCTAATTTTAAAAAATTGATGGCAACAAGGCTAGAGGGCGACTGAGAAAGACCTGGATAGATGGAGTCAGGGAAACATTAACCACCCACGGCATCCCCCTGACCCAAGCTCTCCGGCTGGCGACAGAGAGATGTCTCTTTCTTCCCACGACACCCAAAAGGGTATAAGCGGCGGATAAAAGTAAAAGTAATTAAAGTAATACTCTGAACAATGTTAGAAATAAGTACTTTACTATTTTCACACCATCCTTATCAATATATGAACAGTGACTACAAATGAATGCATTGACTACAGACAGGAAAACTTAGCCCAGGCAAGAGTGCCATTTTCAGAATAAACATCCATAGTACCTATGTCTGTAGCTTGTTCCCTTTCGTCTGGCATTTGTTAAAACAAGTTAAAATGAAATCGTTCTGTTTAATCTTCTCAGATCTTTGTATACGGGTCTAACGGTTAGATGAACAACAGAATCTAATAGCTCATTCATAAAGATCACTTTGATGTAAGCCTAAAGCGAGTCAAAAAATTATTGGGGATTTACAGCATACACCTGAAACATAAAAAAGTTCACATATTTTCCTCAATACCACACTCAAACGTACGCCCTAAAAACTCAATTCAAGACATGGGGTCAGTAATTTCCAAGCTCGTGGAGATGTTTAGACAGTGGGGAGATGAAATCTACAAGCTAACACTGAAATGAGGGGGCAGGATGGTGTCGCTGTCTCAAAAGGAGCAATTTGCAGGCAAGGTTAGTGTAATTCATGTATTTTAGTGATCCTGTGTATGCATCCAATGAGCCGCTTTTATTATTGGGTCCAAAGGGAAACACTTTTTTTACAGAATCTAAATTTGTTCTTTTTAAATCTCTATTTGGTCGCTGACCTGCAGAGGTGCCATGCAAAATTTTGTGGGCATAGGTATATTAATAAATGAGCTAGAATTTTTTTTAAGGCAGTCAGACCAAAGTGAACAAGCTATATAAAAAATGTCCATAACTTTTTCAGTTCCCAGACGAATTCTGAGAAGATACAGGCAAAAATATCTAAATTTATTGTCAAAGTCATTACATAATATTCAGTTAAATCAAATAGCGAGAATTAAGATAAGAAAAAGGAATAAAAAATAGAAGCAAAGTGAAAAAGGAAAAGCAGCAACCTACCACTCAGATCCATCATCATAGCCAAGTGGGCATGGCCTCGCGGAATGACTGGCACAGATCTGATGGAGACAAGGCAGTAAAAAAAACATGAGAGACTTTGCTTTGAATCTTCAAAATTACATAAAATTTGATAATCACATCAGCAAATCTGGGGTGCTTAAACCACTAAAAGAAATGGGCTACCCATAAAATGAAATTTAAAATTGCAAACTGATACACACTAACTTCAAATCAAGTTCAGATGACAAAGACACATTGAAAGTTTGTTTTACTGTATACTATAATTCTGCATTTTTAATTCCCTGGGGCAATTTTATCATTTTTTTAAAACTTGATCAGGCACATAGGTAACACATGCAAATCAGTAGTCACAACTTTGAAGGAAGAAATACATAACTTGCATATTACTGTAAAAGAATATTTTTTCACCAAGAACAAAATTTTTGTTCTTTTTGCCATCCCGGACAAAAACGGTAAACATTTCCTCACAAAAGTTGTGAATTAGCAAGCTGACTACACTACAGTAACACCTTGTGCCACTCCAATTGTGCCGCCAGTGCCAGTAGTTACTAGTACTAGTACGTCTACCATTCGAGCAATTCATCTCTCACTCATTGGCGGCTGTACTGTCACTGCGTTTCACTGGTGTGCAGAGATATATCTGTCGAGTTGTCTACAAGGTTTGTGCCTACTGTTTACTTTGTGCTGCTATCAGCAATTCTGGAGCTCATAAGGTACTAGTACTGTTACTGTAGACCAATGTGATCATTCAATAATGCACAAGCGACCATGCTCTCCACACAACACATAACTATAAAAGACTTTTTTTTCAAAAGTCCCTTTTTTTCACACGTCCGGGCCAAAACAATATTCTCTGGTGAGTTTCAAAATTAGTTTCTGCATGAAAAAAAGCTCTGTATGAAAAAAAAACCTCTGTTACAATACTGCACTGCAGTGGAAATAGGCTTGTTCGAACCAATGCTGCTGGGTGTTCTTCCTAGCACAGGTGCGTGTTTTTCGGGATCATATGGTTAAGAAATTTTTTTTTCGGAATTAAAAAAAAAAAAAGGAGTATAATTGTATCCTCGGGGATTATTTACCCTGTTCTATAAAATCCTAGCAAAAGGTACAAGAGTTAAAGGGTTCAACTCTCCTTACTTTCCAGCTGTTATGTGAAAGTTTCCAGCCACTTTGTTCACCTCTAGGCTCCCATATATACGACAGGCATCTGCAGCTGTACTTGGCTTAGGCCCTTCTCTGGAAAAGAATCAAAATCAAGTCATTTCACAGACAGGAACACCACATTGCAGCTCAGAAACAAAGTAAACTGGCTGTTATCTGTCTTCTCCCTTCAGCCCCATCCCATGAAGGAAAATATCACTGAAGAATAACCTTATTATATAAATAAAAAAACATTCATTGCAGTCAGTCCAACAAAGCACAAACAAACTTTCACACTCAACACTGTATAGTTTAAGCCAGTTTTTTTCCACACATTCACCTTTTTGGCTGAAAATTTCCGTTGATTTTCCCTTTGGACAAAAGACTCGTTGATATTTTGTACTTAAAAGACCAAATTTTTTAAAGGAAAAAAAGGAACATCGGCTGGCTGCAATATATATAGTTTTTCATAAAGTCAGAGCCTGCCTTCAAAAAGCTTTTCAACAACAACTGAAGAGACTTCTTTCCCTAGTTTATTAGAATTTTGACACAAGTATTTCCACAAAACCATCAACAAACAAACACTTACGTTATAATACACTGAAATTAAGCTTGACAGTAATAACGGGAATGAAAAATTTTTCCATATCTCAAACCTACAGAGTAAACATGACTAATTTCTGACTTTTTAAGTCAGAACTTAAGATCCGGTGCCACTACTAACCTTTCAGGCATGCCTCCTGCAAACGTCGGGTTTCCCATTCTCCATAAAACATGCTGGATGGCATGGTAATCTTCCTGGAAATAGTCATTTACCTGAAAACAGGAGCAAAACAAATTGAGACAAACTTATTATAAGAATCTTAAAAAAACAAAACAGAGTATGGTTCTTTAGGGATATTATGAAATAAGTGGGGGGAAAAAATATCTAATCTCAGCAGACAGGAGGACACAAATATTCTACAAAATCAAACAAAAGCAAAACCTCACACCCCGTGAAGTGCAATGGTTCAAATGGTTGTTCTGGAGTGGGCATCTGGCAGGGGTACCGCAGTATTCTACCTTTTCTAGTTAGTTTTAATGTTGAGAAATCCAGCCCTTCCCGGATTCATGTAACACAAGACTGCCAGCAGTGAAGATTCATGACTGTACATAAGCAAAGCACACACAGAGTGAAATGTGATGTAGCGATCACTCAAGAATGAACACCAGGGCAGAGTCCACAGATAATGCCGTGTGGTGACAGTCATTCTGAGATATTGTACACAGAGGCGGGGCATAGTGAAGGATTAAAGGGCTTAAGCCCCACCCACTCACACCTCATCTTTTTCCCACAAGTACGAAGGTTTCTTAATAAATGAAATAATCAGCTAAAACCATTAAGACTGCTTAAGAATCTTCCACCTCTAGTAGCATGCAGAGAACACATGCACTTGTCTGTTTATCCAATCACAGTTGTCACCAGTTAATAACAGCTAATCAAATGTCTTTAGGGCTCAGCAAAGGTTGAGCCTGCGAAAAACTGTTGTTTGAGATCAAAGGGCTATTAGCATTGTGTCTTTTAAATCATGAGATATAACTTACCTAAGACCATGAATGTTCCTAAACTGGCAAATCTCTCAGATGTGGTTTCTTTCATTATCCCTTGACACTTTCATTCACATTTTGTACTAGCCTTTCAACATATTTTACTATCATCGGTAGTCTAGTGGTAAAGCTGTCAAGCTCATCACTAAAAGCTCATGGGTTTGAACACTGTCAAGGGCCCAACATTGTGTCCTTAGAAAAGGCACTTTACATAATTTTCCTTCCTTTAACTAGGTGGGAATGGGTACCCAACTATAAACAGCGAAAGATCTTGTCAGCTTATTGGTGCTTGAGCGCATAATCAGCTGCTTGCATTGTATGCTTCCTGGGCAGCACAAAATGTTTCTGAGTGTTTTAGGGCCGGCTGGGGTAATAACAATTGTAAATTGCATAGAAAATGCACGACAGCATTGATATATGCTATATATAAATGCAATTAATATTATTATTATTATTATTAAATTATTATTATTACTATTATTATTATTATCATTATTAATACTATTATTTTTATCATTATCATTATTATTCTTATTATATTAGATTTACTACTACCTCTTTTGTTTTTGTCCCATTTACAGGTCACAGTGTCAGTCTGAAGTAGTCTTGCTGTGGATGTTTTTCCAACACCCACTCAAATTCGTGAGTCTTGTCTTTCCTAAATATTCAAAAGTCAGCCCACAGCACACTAGTGACCATGACAAGGTGGAAATATAGCTGTGGTTAGTACTTTTTGAGAGAAATAAAAAATTTGACAAAACGGTACAAATCTACAAGCAGGAGAAGAGTCAAGTTTTAATCTGAGGTATCTTCTTCCAACTGGTTTTTTCTGTCTGTCTCACTGACAGAATACTGTTCTCAAGAATATCCTTCCCATTCCTTGAAGTCAGGACCATTCAACAACAATCTTTTAAAAAGTAAACAATATTTGATATTGAGTATAAACAAATTCTGCACTAACACAGGTGAGTGTAATAAAAAAAAAAAAAAACAAAGAAACTTATGATTAGCATTCAGAGCACACAATATATATGCTTTCTTGGAGATGATTATGAAGGAACAGAGTTTTTAAAAGGCACTTCTGCTTCATTTCATAAGAACTGATGGTAAACATTAAGAATACACAATATATTTCCTTGGCGACGACATGAAGTAAAAGGGATTTTTTAAAACTTCAGAAGAGAAGACCAGATAAAAATGAATCATATGCAACAGGAAGCAATTCAGGGTCTCATTTTGAAATACAATTTTTATTTGAATTCTGAAACAATATTCAAACTTTTGGTAGAGTGCCTGGAGAAAGGTCTCAGGTGTACGAAATTTTGGATATTGAAAGAAGGGCATATTATTAAAGCACATTCAAAGCAGAGCATGCTAATTAAAACGTCATGTTTCAAATATCTTGAGTTCTGTTAAAGAAATGCCACATTTTGTAACACAGGGTGTAAAAACAAAGTCTGCAGGAAAACCCAACCTCTAGCACATTTACAACTTTTGGTAAAGTACAACATGTTGCAAAAATAACTTATAAAAATATTATACATGAGTTCTCCCTTTTCAACAAATATCTCTATACTACAAATATATACCTTGGTTAAGCCCTTCATGACCTATGTGACGTACGTCATTCGTCCTTTTTTCCTATATAGCCAAGGAAGCAAGTTGCTGCGGTGACGCACAGCGTTCCTGATGCCTTGCGAAGTTTGGGGATCATGATGAAAAACGCTGATCAGTATAGTAAGTTTGTATTTGGCATATTGTCTCTATTAGATGCACTTTGTCAAACTAATTGCAGATTCATTCAGCCTTCCCTACAAAGAAATCTTTTCCAAACTAAAACACCTTTCCCTAACTAACTGTGTCACAAAGGGGTTAAACATGACACAGTGGCAGACAAATTTGCTCACCTGTTGTACAAACTGCTGGTAGTCCTTCTGTTTGGGACTCAGTTCCCAGTATGCAGGCTCCTGCTGGAGATGACCATAACCCAGCACATCTTGACCAGTTTGGTCAAGAACATCAGCACCAAGATCTGATCGGTGACAGAAACAATATGAATCAAATTACACAGCTACAGTGTGTAACTATTTATGGATAAAACGTAATCAAATTATGAAAATATCATGGTCTTCTTTTTTATCAGTCAAAATTTAGAGCTCATAAGTACAATATACTGCATCTTTCATTTTCTTGAACATTCACCTCTTCTGCAAACTCAAAAGAATCTTAGACAAATCACAACCTCAAAAATACAAAAGTTCTATCTGTTCAGTACCTAGTTTTGAGAAATTTCACGTTGAAAAATTTTTGAGTTTCACAACATTTCAAGCTTTTTCTAATGAAATACAATTCTTTGAATATCTAAATAAAAACTCAGAATAATCTTACGATTTTGATAGAGCAGAATAGAACATTTTTGATTTCTCACCTCAAGACCATAATAACTCCAAATGGCCAACAATGTCTGATAAAACTTTGTAATTCTAAGGTAGCAGAATGTTGTGCACACACATATCTCCATTAACACATTATCAAATATGCATGTGTTCGCAAAACTTAATTGCACTTTCCTTCCTTCCGCACTATCCCTAACCGTTTCTCCTCTCTCTCTCTCTCTCTCCCCCGCCCCCCCTCCCTCAATTGCCTATTGTCCTAGACATTCGAAATTTAGCACAGTGATAGTTCATCCATATTTGTGGAATTTTTATTTGTGCGACGCTTCATATCAAGAATTAAAGGTAGCATTTCTTTGTGGCAATCTATTTGCTGATGATGGTGAGACTTTGTGAATCATTCTTGTTCTCTCAGTATAGTATTAATATCAAGACTTTCTCTAATAACAAAATAAAAGTTACATTATACTTCTTTTTTACACTGATTTCTTCAGCAGAGAAGGGACCATTTCAATCAAGTTTTCCATCCCAACAAAACTTGCAGGATCATCCTTCCATGCCAAGCCCTGTGTCACTTCAAAGTACTTTTTAAATTGTCTGTAATTAAAGAAAGCAGCATTTTATGCAGTTGCGGGTGCTATAAAACTTTTACCAAAGTGTGAATGAACTGAAAGAAAACAACCATCAAGTTCCCACCTCCAACCCTCCCCTCCCAAACAAAAACTTACGGTGACACTTCATGGCAACAGTTATGTCCAAGTTCAGCTTCACTTTTCTGTAGAAACAAAGACCGAAAAAAAATATGGCACCAAACGACCTATCAGATAATGTTATCAGCAAGATTAGATTTTGCTGAAAATATCAATAGAACTAAGGAAGTAACAAAACAGAGTCTCACTGGCTGCATATCTTATGTTGTTGTATGCAGATTTGTAGTAGGCACAGATTTTTAACTGAAGAAAAGCATACAAAGACAACAACAAAACGCTAAAGTGAAAATTATGAAAAATAGAGTTTTAAGCTTGACTGTATTTCCAAAACATACACATTCATGTTTTTATTCAAATGAAAGAAAATCCATTATCATTAAACTCTACTCACTTTTAAAGGTAGTTACCTTTGTCTAACCATTTATAATTATATGTCAGTTACTGTTTTTCACAAATCATTTCTTTTCCCTTCAAAGTACATCTCAGAAAAATGCAGCAACAGCTGTTCTATTGCACGGAATAATCACCAGTCAGGATAGTAAAACAATAAAATAATATGACAGCTCATACCGTGAAAAATTTGTATCCACTTCATAGTCAAACTCAAGATCTGTAGATGTGTAATAGCTCACTTCTGAAATCACCAGGATGCCTATCACAACAAAAGTGATGATAGACACTGAAAGGAAAAAAAAAATCTTCATTAGAAAACCCCTCCAAAATGATTAATGTCAGGGTACCAATGGCCTAGTACTTAAGCTACAGACAGACAACAGAGATGTGGTGAGAAAAGCAATTTTGTGCTACTGACGTACGCAAGGTCATATATAATGCATAGGTAGCAATTATATTTCATATACATTAGTTCAGAAGTGAGATAGTCATAAGGACCATAGAAGAATGGGGAGGGAGGAGTATAAATAAACAAAACCCTACTTTCAAGAAAGAACTGGTTCTAATATGACACTAAAGCCTTGAGAAACTGAGGACCATCTTGAGCAAGATTAAAATCCTGTCACTGTCTTCCAAACAACCTTCACCTGTCACTGTTACCCAGGGAACAGTGGCTGAATGGATGGGCAATTGGCAAAACTGGAAGAACTGTATTTGCGCACATGACAGCCCTCAACTCAAAAGATGTACTAAATGCCTTGAGTAGAAGAGAACAAGTCATGATATTTCGCCTGCAAACACAACACATCCCACTAAATTCCTACCTTAATAGGATCCGCAAGAATATCCCACCCGACTGCCCGTTGTGCGACTGCCAGGATGAAACAGTACCACACCACCTCTTTAACCTCCCTGCACTTTGCGACCTGCGTAGCACCTACCTACCTGCCTCCCCAGACATCGGAAATACTCTATACAGTGACAAAGCACAGCTGATTAAAACCTGTAAATTCTTTGCCATATCAACAGACCAAAGGGCTAGAACCCAAATGGCCGGTAAATCGGAAAAGTAAAGTAAAAAGTAAAGTCACTGTTACAAGCTGTGGAGAAAATAACAATAATGATGATGATAACAAATATATTATATGTTATAGCAATCACAGAAGATGCATTTTCTGAATGCATCTTGGAAACACAGGATGCATTAAAATCAAAGCTATCCCAAAAATAAGCAAGAAAGTTCAAAGCAAAGACTTTTAAATTTTAATAGAGGAAAGTAATTCCTCAAAAATAATAATAGAGATGTATGTTGCCAAGAGGTTTTTCATGTTAGTACATTTTGTTCAGAAATAAAAGAGACATTTGTATATGACTTGTGAGCAATGAATTTTTTTTTTTTTAAGAACAAAAATAAGTGATTTTTTCTCTTTACTCCAAGCCTATATATATATAGATCTATATATCCCCCCACCAGAAAAAAAAAGACGCAGCCTTAACCTGAGGAACAGAAAAACATGATCTACATCAGTTAATATGATCCCAAAGCTTAGATGACAAACATCATGTAGATCATGCGCACCTGAACTCCTTTACGTTGATAGCTAGATGTGTGGCATCACAGTGAAATCCGGCACCCAGGTTTAAGAGAGCTCAGGTTATCGGGTCAAATCAGTGGTTTTAAAAAGGTTACTTTATACAATGAGGCACAGACAACACGAACACGAAAAATTCGAAATCACATCCCCATTTATAACTTGTTTGCCATTCCTCTGCTATATATTAAATTATATATATATATATATATATATATATATATATATATATATATATATATATATATATATATTATATATGATGAGCCTTTGCCAATAGGTGGGTTTTCTTTTGTATACCTTCCTTACAAAATCCTTTCCAATTCCAATGAAAATGATGCTACAGCTTTGAAAATTGTATATGTTGTGCTTAATATAATGTTTCAGCTATGGGAGCATAGAAAAATAGCAGTTGGGCCATCAGAAGAAATCTTGCAAATATTTTTAGTTCTGAAATTAATGTATTTTTAGAATGCAAAATGTGATACGTAGAGTTTGTACTTTCTCTGTCGTCAAGTTCAGTAATGAAATAAATGCTGAGAAACTCATCCTTCTACACTTTTACAACTGTTCTATAACGACATCATTTGTGGTGGTATATCATGAATATTGATATCTGTAGCTGTTTTTTCTTTGTGAGCCTTCTAGACTTTCATTTTCGGGCATAACTTGTGTTGTCATTTCGCATGCCAACTTCGATTCCCCGTGACCTCATTTCTATCGGCCATTTTGGGGCCCTGGAATGAGCATAAAATATCGTTAAATGTTTACTCTCTGCCCTGACTGATTCCGAGGCTGTGATCATACGTAATTTTGCAGAAAACGGAAATCCCGCGAAGCCTCGTGCTCTGTCATCATTTGTTATGTTCGAAAGAACCAATCAGAAAACAAGAAATAATAGGGGTGAAGGAACGTGCATTGTTCCTGTCGATCCATTCAAAGCGTATTGTTGTGCGATGTAAGATGGAGAGAAGAATAACGATGAATGAGACGAATCTATTTAAGTTTTCTTATGTCATCATCAAATTTTAATGTGTTATGTTCGAAAATTTTAACCAAGTCCAAGTAAGGATTAATAAAACATCGCACTGCGTTCCAATGATCAAGTAGTGGTAGATCTAGATGTAACCACACATGCTTGTATAGATGTCAACGAGAGGGGAAAATTTGATGTAAATTGATGATATGTTCCAAAATGATGACAAACATATTCACTATATTATAAACATGTGTCATCGTGGTATAAATGTTCGAAAGATATTTTTGGTATTTTGCATAGAGTCATCGTAAAATGTGAATTAAGTGGCATTTTTTTCCCCATTACCATGCATTATGAGTCAAACCGAATCTCCTGAATCTTTGTTTGCCAAAATTTCCAAAAAATAAAATAAAATATGAAAATGGAAAGTTTTTCATTTCTTTCGGACATAACTATGATGACACAAAAGTGAACACAAAGACATTCAGAATTTCTTTTTTCTTTGGTTTTATGCTTTTCATGCTTATCTTTGAAAATTAAAGCAATGAGAAAACTTAAAACAATTTTATGATCCGTAAATTACTTTTCAGGATATTTTTCATTTTGTGTCATCATGGTTTATGTTCAAAAGATATTAGATATCTTGCAGAGACTCATAGTAATGTGAATAAAATGGCTTTCTTTCATCATTGAAAACATGCATTGTGAGTCAAACTCAACCTTCTGAATCGTTGTTTGCCCAAATTTTCATAAAAAAGAAATTAAGATATAATATATGAAAATGGAAAGTTTTTCATTTCTTTGGTAAATAAAACCATTCAGAATTTCTTGTTTCTGTGATCCTCACCATTTTATATGTTCTTCACGCTTTTGTTTGAAAATTAAAGCTTTCATAAGAAAACTGTTTAAAATAATTTTGCATGTAGGCTTTTATAACTCTAAAAAAAATGTGTTATCATAGTTAGGCCCTCTATGTCCGAAAGAATTTGACTTGACGTTAGTAATGCCAGTCAAACAGCTTAGCATGCCGTCTGTAGGTCTGTAAATATATGTTTTTGCAGGAGGAGGTATACATGATTAGAAAAATTCAAGTAAAAGCGAAATATTAAAAACTTTATATAATCAACACTCTTTGCTTCATTTCAGGTACCCACCTATTGTGGCAAAAGCTCATGTTATAAGTATATATTTTACATATGTATCGATCTCTTCTCTTAGTTTTTTCCTCATCAGTTAACACAAATTATGGTGGCACCGAACACAATTATTGTCAATTCCCCACACATGGAGTATAAATCCGTGCCCTACATTGTAATGGCTGTTTTTAAGTAGGCTAAGTTAAAGTTAAAGAAAATTTATATTAAATTAATTCTAACAAATATAATTTTTGTATAAATAACTTTAGATCTGGATCCAGAATATCTAGACTCTGCTAGGCTCTAAAAAGCTATCAAATTTGCAGTTGCTCAACAAGTTCGCATTTAAATAACCCGACTGTAGGCCTACAATCCATTCTCTAGATATAGCTAATCAGAGCTTGTCCATACCGGGAAGATGGAAGAATACCAGACCACTCGTATTATTGCGCGAGAATGGGGGGTGGAGGAAGGGATTAGGGAAGTAGGTGGGGGTAATGAATAGATATCTAGGCTATCGGTTTGAGATTCTTCATTGAGAGAGAGATTAAAAACTGGGGAAAATCATGAATTCCTAAGGTTGTCGAGACATAGGCAAAAGTAAAGTCCTAATCCGCTGGTCCGGTATTCTTCAATCTTACCGTCCTTACCTTGCTAGATTAAAAGTTGTGTTGAATAATAATAAGGCCTAATTGGCCGGCACTATTTCTCCGAACGTTCGGGAAAATAAAGCTAGGCACTGTTTCTCCGAACGTTCGGGAAAATAAAGCTGGGCACTATTTCTCCGAACACTCTGAAATCACATCCTTTCCCGCAAATTTCGGATATAATATAGATCTATAATTATAGTATATGCCTACCAAAGACTGTTCGTATACAATATGGTTCAATCTGTCCAAAAAATGTCCGCAGTAAATATCTATATTATAAAGAAATGCTCCAATTCCAAACAGTTTTTCGCTACAGATATGACGTGTTGCCTATGAAGGATGCTGCTCTTAAACGTAAGGTGTTGTGTTCACTCGTGTGCTGTCTAGATCTAGATCTAGATCTATGGAGGGTTATTGATAACGACACTAAAAATTAGCATCTGCGTTTGTCACTGCCGCAACCAATGTACTGACAACACTGGCAGGCCCCTTAATGTGTGTGATTCCATAATTTACATGTAATATCCTGTACTTTTTAAAAAAATTACGCACATTTAGGGTTAAAACAGCCAATCTTCTTCGGACAGGTGGACACACGCCCTTATTTGTTAATGTTTGTTGTTGTTTATGGGCTGTTCTAATTTTGATTTAATATTTTTGTGAAACCTTTCTTTTTCACGTTTTTACACTCATCTAAAAATCTCTAGACTAGCTCTTGAAAATTGAAATAGATATATAGACCCAAAAATTTGCTCCTGTGTGTGGGTGTATGTGTGCGTGTGTGAGTGTGTCTGTGTGTGGTAGTAAGTGTGTAAAATGGAGAGTGAGGAGTGTGTGTGTGTTTGTTTTTCGGGCTTATTTCAGCCTTTATTCACTAGTTCAAAGTATACATACAGAAACACAGGATCCATTCACTCCAGGGCTCATGAGTTGTTCCTCTCTTTCAGTTTCACTCATATATTCAATTCCCGTGTCCTCTCCCGCGGCTCATCCCCGTCCACATGACTTTCACACCCCACCCTTTCCCTCCAGGCATACACAAAGAAAATCTCACTCATTCCCTTGCACCCTGCGAACCATGGACAATAATATAGGCAAAACACTGCCTGAGCTGCATTCCTTTCGTTCGTGAGCTGTGGACCAGGCCAGGGGGGTCGGTGTCATCGTCTTGTCTTGTAGTTGCTGTCGCCTGTAGATACACTCGCACATTCTTCCTTTCACCCGCTCTTTCACTCACACTGTCTCCTCTCCATCCACAACTCAGCTCGTCATACATTCAAAAGTTGCCCACTGGTCATGTTTAGTTAGTGTGTGTATAAGTTTGTGTGTGTACATATATGTGCATGATGGTGGTTGGTGTGTGGTGGGTGTTACTGAAGGTTGTCTGTAGTGTAGGCGGGCTTGCCATGCGGCATGCAGTGTTCCTTCCCAGACCAGAGGCAGAATGAAAGTTGGCGCCGAACTCTCGCAATAAATAGGCAAAAAATCACTAGACCGGAAGCCGGAAACCGTTCGGAGAAATAAAGATCGGCACTATTTCTCCAAACGTTCAGAGAAATAGTCACTTCGTAATAATAATTGAATGATCAAAAAATGGGTAACTTGTAAGGTCCAGTATTAGACATGAAATATAGATCTAATAATACTTGAAGTGCAATAAAAACTTACATCCTCCACCAGCAGCCGAAGTTTCTTGATAGCTGTCTGGGACTTTGGGAAAAGCATCCAGCTCCTTCACAACTTTGAGGGCATTTTTACGATTCACAACATTCATTCGCTGCATGGTGAACAGTACTGACTTATTCCAGTAAGAATATCAAAATGTTTTTTAGACCCAGGACAAACAATACAACACGCAGAAGCAACTGCAAGTCTAAAGGGTTGTTATTACAACGATAAATTTGAGCCAACGGACACGAGAGTCAGTAATAAACTGAGTAAAGTTAAGATTCCGCCATCGGCATATTTCCACTTTCCGACGTTTGAGCATCAACAGTGGCTTTATTCTCTAAAATCTGAGGAAATCTTGACAGAATTCGACATAAAAGTGTTCAACAAGGTTGTATGGGGGTACTTATCGTAGAGGTAAAGACTATACTTGATTACTTCCTCTCTCTAGCCTAATTGCAGAACGCCACATAGAACCATACAATCTCCAATCTCCAGTAAAAACACAGAGCAGTGTGGGGGAATTTTGTTTCTAAAACTAAAGAGCTAGCAAAGGCAACTCGTGATTTGCGAAGCTCGATGACGATAGCCGGGGGCTTTCGCTATTTTAATAAAAACTGAAATATATGTTATGTAATGTTAGTATACACACACGACTGTAAACTGGAGAGACGAACACACACGACAGCAAGCATTCTAATAATGAGCCCGGGTGTAGGGTCTGACTTTTTATGTTGATCCCCGAAGTGAGTAACATTAACCAAAAGCCCATGGCATACGGGGCGCTTACGTCCCGTGATTAAAAAAGAGTAAGGTACAATACAGTGACTACCGTGACATCTCCCCTTTTAATATTGAAGAAAAAGGAAAACCCCAAAATGGATTAAAGATTATCGGTTTCGAGTCTCTCAAAGGGGAATGTTCTAGCTTTAACAAAATTCACACACAGAGTTCAATTGTCTTTGAAGATTCGGGGCTTGCACTTGAGAACTTGGTAACACATTTCAATAAAGTTCTTTGGTATTTCATAATTTCCACATTTCAAATTGTCTTTGTCACATTCATAGAACTGCATAGCGTCCAGATAACGAAATTAAGAAAATAAATTACCTCGAACATGTAGGTCTACACAACTGTTTGGTAATCAGCAAAGAATGAACAAAAAAGTAAAACCAGTCATCGAGACCTTGGTCGCAAGAACATCAGTCCGGGTAACGATCGGGTTTCCTGACCACTCGTCCACTTCGGGTAGTTATTGGAGCAGGACTGGCTGGAGCGGCAGCTGGCTAAGGTGATGTTGGTGTGACATCAGGCTTCACCGGCTGGACAACTGGTGGAGGAGGTAAGGGAATGGACATCGGAGTAGGCTCTGGGCTGGCAACAGGTGAAGAAGGCATGGAAGGAGGGTCGACGTAGGGCTTCAGGTGTTTGCGGTTCCGGCGGTAAGCCCTATCCCCAGACTGTATGATGTAAGACCTCGGTGCACACCGTTCTTTAACAACCGCAGGGCCACGCCACTCCTTGTCATTCTCCAGCTTCTGCAGGACGAGCTGACCAGGATTCAGCTCCGGGAGGTTCTGGGCTCCGTGACGTCTGTCAAAAGCTTGTTTGTACTTACGCTTCGACTCAGCGTCTCTGGCTGCAATCTTCGCCCTGTCGTAGACCTGCTGGTTCAGGTTTGACGGTAGAGTTGGCAGGGTCGTCCACAGGCGTCGCCCAAGAGCAAGTTCCGCTGGGCTCGCCCCCGTCGGTGACACCGGTGTAGACCTGTAGATCAGGAGAGCGAGAAATAGGTCGTCCTGACTCAGGGATTTATTCGCTTCCTCGACTGCTCTCTCCGACCCGCCTTTGCTCTGGGGAAAATGAGGACTGCTGGAGGTGTGTTTAAATCCCCAGCCTTTGGCGAACTTGTGGAAACGATCTGACACAAACTGGGGACCGTTGTCAGTGACCAGTAGTTCTGGAATGCCAAACCGAGCGAAGATGTTTTTCAGTTTGTACACAAAAGTCTATGAGGTGGTGTCTGACATGTAGGCCACCTCCAAGTACCGTGAAAAGTAGTCCACGAGTACCAGGTAGTCATGTCCCTTGTAGTTGCATAGGTCAGCACCAACCATCTGGAACGGCCGCTTGGGTAGAGCTGTCCGGTTTAGAGGTTCGCTTGGTTGTGCTGGACGTTTCCGCTGACAATGGTCGCATCTTGAGACGACTTCCTGTATCTCGGAGCTGAGACCAGGCCACCAAATGGAAGATTTGGCCCGTTCTCGACACTTTGACACTCCGAGGTGACCGTCATGGATCCTGCTGAGCATCTCTTCTCGCATTGTCTTGGGGATTACGATGCGGTTACCTCTGACGAGTAGTCCACTGACTTCGCTCAGTTCACTGGAAACTGCGTAGAGGTCGCGAGCTTCGGACCTGACGTTTTGTATGAATTTCGGCCAACCGCTTCTGGTGTACTGTATGGCAGCACTGATCGTTGGATCCTGTTGAGACTTGTTTCTGATTTCGTCAAGTTTGCTATCCGTGGCATCCCATGACATCTGGATTGTAGCGATATGAGCCTCGATTTCTTCACCAAATTCTTCAGGCTCGGTGCTCACTACTGGACTTCGGGACAAGGAGTCTGCGACAGTCATGTTTTTCTCTTGGGTGTATACTGCCTTTCCGCTGTAGCGCATCATCCTCATCAGCATTCGTTGGCAGCGGACAGGTGCATCATTCAGTTCCTTAGAGTTGATCAGAGGCACAATGGGCTTGTGGTCGGTGAGCAGTGTGAATGATAGCAGCCCGATGAGGTAGCGATCGAACTTTTCGCACGCCCAGGTGGCCACCAACAGTTCCTTTTCAATCTGAGCGTAGTTCCTCTCGGCCCTAGATAGAGTTCTGGAACAGTAGGCCACTGGCTGAAGATCACCCCTGTCCTCCTGGAGGAGAACTCCCCTCAGTCCGTAGCTGCTTGCATCGGCGCTTACAAGGACAGGCTTCCTCATGTCGAAGAAAGCGAGTGTTGGAGCTGACGACTGCAATTTCTTGACTTTAGTGAAGGCAGATGACTGCGCTGGAGTCCAGGCCCACTCAGCATCGTGATTCAGAAGATCGGTGAGCGGCTTCATGACTGTTGACAGATTTGGCACAAACCTGCCCAAATAGTTCACCACGCCGAGCACTCGTCGCAAGTCTGTAATGTTCTCTGGCTCTGGCTTTTCAGTGATGGCACTGACCTTGGATGGATCTGGCCTTACACCTTTCCCGCTGATGATGTGGCCAAGAAAATCGATTTTATCCTTGTCAAACTTGCACTTGGATTTGTTCAACTTGACCCCACGCTCCTTTAGCCGCTGGAAGACTTTCTTCTTCAGCTTATCATGTTTCTCCTGACCATCCGTGTGCAGGAAGATGTCGTCCATAAAGCACTCTACACCGTCTATGCCAGCTAGAATGTCTTGCATCGTACGCTGAAATATCTCAGGCGCAGAGGTGATTCCAAAGCAGAGACGTCTGTAGAAGTACCGGCCGAACAGGGTAATGAAAGTGGTCAGCTTTGCGGAGTCATCGTCCAGTGCCAACTGCCAAAAGGAAGACGTCGCATCAAGCTTGCTGGACTTGTTTGATCCGCCGAGTTTGTACAAGATGTCGTCTAAGGTGGGCAGCATGAATCGTTCACGCTTCATCGACAGGTTGAGCTTTTTCAGATCTGTGCAGATTCTAACGCTACAAGACCTTTTCCTGACCGGGACAATCGGCGCGCACCAGTCAGTTGGAGCGCTGATCTTCTCAATGACACCTGCGGCTTCCATGCGGTCTAGTTCAGCTTTAACTTCGTCCATGAGTGGAATGGGAATCCGACGTGCGACGTTCACAGAGTATGGCTGTGCATCTTCTTTCAAGATGATTTTCACTGGCTCGCAGCATATTGGTTGAGGTCCCACATCGCTGAATACGAGGTTGGCAGAGTCTATTCTGTCTCGAGAAATCAGTCCCAGGC